AATAGAATAGGAAATTAGAAGAGAAGTGAATCAGGAATAGAATTAGAATAGAGTAGAGTAGAACAGAACAGAATAAGAAAAGAATAGAAAGGAAAAGAAAAAAGAAAAGAAATGAGAATTAGGAATAGAATAGAATTGAATAGAACAGAACAGAACAAAATAGAAAATATAGAATAGAATGAAGAATAAGATGAGATGTGATAGAATTCTTTATTGGCCAAGTGTCATTGGGCACACAAGGAATTTGCCTTTGGTGCAAATGCTCTCGGTGTACATAACGAAAAAATAAAATACATTCATCAAGAATCATAAGATACAACATTTAGTGATAGTCGTGGGTTACTATAAGCAATCAAAACGTATTAGGGAAACAAATAAAACAATATAAATTTTAAAGATACAAGCCACAGGGCTAGAGTCATAAGTGGGAAGAGATAGGTAACAGGAAGGATGAGAAGAATAACAGTAATACAGTCTTCGTAAATAGCTGGACAGTGTTGTGGGAATTCGTTGTTTAGCAGAGTGATGGCCTTCGGGGGAAAAACTGTCCTTGTGTGTCTAGTTGTTCTATATGGGGGAAAAAAGAAAGAAATACGGTTGGCCAAAAACAAACAGGGTTTTTTTAGTCTGCTAGAAAAACATGGCTCAGGAGGACCCAGCCAGGTTGTTGTTTGCACCCCGCTCCGCGAAAACTCACATACCTGCAATTTTATTTTATTTTTTGGAGATTCCCACGACCCTCCTCCTGATCTCTGCTCTCTTCTTCAGACCCTGGATGATGTCATCAAGGATTTAATGGCCGCCATCCACCGGGAATTGACGGAGAAGCAATCCGTGTCCTTCAGCCTTTCCTTCCCCCCCAACAAAATGGAGCTCACCGTCACCAAAGCCGACAGCACCGATTCTCACATTTTTGAATTTCCCAATCCGGACGCGCGGCACAGTTTTGAGCAAGGCTTCGAGGACGCCAAGAAGAAGCTAGGTAGTTTTTATCCACGATGGTTTGTGATTGGGGTTACAGCGAACCTGCATTCTGACTTTCCAGACCGTTCTCAGTGCTCCTTCCTACTGATCCGACCCAGCTCTCCAAACGCGAACAAAACCCTCTGTATTTAAATCAGAGATTCCTTTATTAGGAGCGACGGCAGCCCCGGTTAAAAAGTTTCTCTCTCGCCACAGGCTAACAAGCCTGTCCGGCAGGGAGATGAATAATTGTCTGCCACATCTGTTCATCTCTGCCCCCTGCCTTTTATCCCCAGAGCTAGGGTGGGAAGAGTGATGGCTCTTCCGTCCCGAGGACCGGCCCGTAGATTTCCACTGCTCTGCTCTCCTCTCCTCCACCTTCTGTGCATCAGGTACTGGATCCAGCTGTTCCTCCCCTTCTGCATCAGCAACCTCCAGACCTGACTGAGGGCTGACAGACGACTCAGGGTCTGCCTCTCTCTCTCTCTCTCTCTCTCTCTCACTCTCCTTCTCCCTCCCTCCCCCCACCTCTCTCTCTCTGCCAGTTCCATTCCCCCTCGGAGCTCCCGTCCCGAGGACCAGCCTATAGATTTCAACTGCTCTCCTTTCCTCTGCCTTTTTTGCATCCGCGCGTCAGGCGCTGGGCCCGGCTATTCCTTTTTTTCCACATCAGCCATCTCCAGACCTGGGGGCTGTTGACTGTCCATCGGAGGGCTGACAGATGACCCAGGCTCTGCCTCTCTCTCTCTCTCTCTCTCTCTCTCTCTCTC